GCAGCCGATGCAAGAGGCCCCCCACCCTGCCCCGACGGCAGCGGCGAGGGGCCGGGGGGCTGCCCCGCAGGGCACCCAGTAGACCGGGCAGCTGTCGGGGCAGGCGGTAGGTGGGTAGGGGCCGAAGGGGTCGGGGGACATCATGGGGGCTGCAAAGCCGGCTGAAGTATGCCAGGACCCACCCACTGCCGCTGCCCGCCGCCCCCAGCTCGCCATGCAGGCATGCCATGGCTGCCCCAAAAATGTCATGGGCATCCCCAGGCGTCCCGTCGGCCATCCCGACCTGCCACCGATGAAAGAGCCGGGCACTGCCCTGGCTCCAGAGGAGGAGGACAGTGCCACGCTGGCGGCCCACGCGGCCCCGCTGGGCATAGAGCCAGGGCAGGGCGCCCGCCTGACCCAAGCCACCCGTTTCCCACAGGTCCAGGCGCACATCGCAGCCCAGCCCTGCCCGCAGCCGCTCGGCCAGGGCACACACCAGCCCCAGATGCTCCTCTGAGTCTGGCGAGTACAGCAGCAGCACAGGGCGCCCGCCAGGGACACCTGCAGGATGGAGAGGACAGCAGTGACAACTCAGCTCTGTGTCGTACTGGCATCCCCTGGGGACACCCCGGCATCCAACAGCATCTGCCATCTACCACCCTGGGACCCCCTGCAGCCCAGGAACTGGCACCCCCTGGCATTCCAGCCCCTTTTGCTGTCCCTCCTGCAGCCCCCTTGGGTGCTCCTCACCATCATCTGGCCTCCAGGCACCACGGCAGTTGAGGAGTAGCACAGTCACCACCAGTCCCAGTGCCAGCACCAGCCCCAGCAGCCCAAAATGCCTGCGGGAGACTGGGAGAGGGGCAGTAAAGGGGATGTCTGCCCATTTCCACTCCCCCCTGATTCCCCTCCGGAACCCCCTCTCACCATCGGGACAGAGCAGCTGCTTCCGAGCAAAATGCACATCCGAGCGCCACACCTGGGGAAGGGGTTGGGTAAGAGGGGGACCGTGTTGGGTCTCCCATAGCACAGATGACAGCACAAGAGTCACCTTACCAGCACGCAGCTGCCCAGGATCTGCACTGGCAGCAGCAGCGCCAACTCCCCTGGAGCAGAGCCCTCTGGCTGCAAAGCACAAGGGCAGGGTCAGTGTGGGTCTGTCCCAACCATGTCCCCCCCAGCCCTGCACCACTCACCTGTGTGACAGTGTAGAGTGGGGCCTCAGGTTCACACTGCCCACCCCGGCGCTGGCACAGGGCTGCGCTGAAGGCTGCAGGGATGCGGGAGGTAAGGTGCAGGCGTAGCTGGAGCCCCCACACACTCACTGAAACGTTCCAGGCAGTCTCTGCAGCCACCAGAAAGAGTAGTGAGGTTGCAGGATGCCCAGTAGGGTGAGGGGTGCAAGAGGTCCCAGGACAGGACTGTGCTTAGCCCAGGGCTGCCCTTGCCCATAGATCTCACCTGGCTGGTGGGGACACTCCACATGGCTGCTGTTCTTGTAGGAGAACTGAGGGGAGGTGGGATCAAGAAAGGGCAAGGTGAGCTGCCCTCACCCACCACAGCCCCCCAGCCCCTTCCAAGATGGTGCCCACCCACCCACAGGGGCTTACTCGGAAGCAGAGCTGGGGGTGCACGTCCACCTTGTCCAATATGTACACCTGGAACAAATGGAGAGTGTAGCACAGTTACCATCTCTGACCCACACAGTCCACAGGCACCCCGGTGCCCACCCACTGACCTATAGCGACCCTGAGATCCAGCAGATGCCCCAGCCAGTGGCACGGTCCCACATCCTGTGACACCTCAAGATCACGAGGCCTCACCTGCCCATCCTTACTGGCTGTGGAATTGGGGATGTCATGACAGGGTGCAGCCTCATCTGGTGCCTCCCTCCAGCAGAGGGTGGCCTGTGGGTGCAGGGGGCAGGTGGCATTCAGCTCCATCGCCATCTGGTCCTTGCTGCTGGTGCTGTAGTCGTGGAAGTGCACTGAGGACCACAGCTCAGGACCATCTGTGGGGCACCACATCAGTGGGATGGTGAGACACCAAGGGACACCCCTGGGACTCATCTCCCCTCCCCACAGGCACCAGGCACTCACATGCATCTGGCCGGTCATGGAAGGGGCAGTGTTTGCTCCTTGGGCTGTCATGGTGGGAGTAGGAGGCCTGGGGCAGCAGAGCAGGATGGTCAGGGCAGGATATGCCCCCACCCCTCATGCGAGGGCAGAGGAATGGGTTCTGGTGGCTGTAAGGGAGGGCAACCCACCTCAACGCATAGGCAGGGCACCAGGAACTCATACCGCAGTGAGATGTGGTGGCCTCCTGGCACCAGCACCTACAACATGGAGGAAACATCAGCTGTCAGTGATTGTGTTCCCCAGTCTGGGCCGGGGGTTTCGGGGGGCAGAGCCGTTACCTGCTGGTGGAAGGGCCGGGGCAGCTCCTCACACTCCAGGGCCAGCTGGTGGCACAGCCGCACCATGAGGGCAGGACCCGTGGGCACCCACACCTCAATGGCCCGCACCTCAGGAACCCAGGCATGGGTAAAGACAGGCCCTGCTGAGCAGGCAGGGGGTTACAGCTGGTACCGGCGTCCCCCCAGGACACCTCCCAAACCCTTCAGTCTCACCAGGTGGCTCAGCGGTGACCAGATGGCTGCAGCTTAGGGAGAAGCCCCGATCTGGGATGGTGCGAAGGGAGACGAGGACTTGCTGCCCGCTCTCTGCCGGG